ATATGTATTTTTAATATTTTTCAACTGCTATTCAGTAGCGTGGTGAACGACGTTTACCTAATGCAATTGCTTAGCCCTAGAACAAACATTCAAAATTTTTATACAGAAAACTATACCTTTATGGAGGGGGGGGGGTCATAGTATAAATAATTTGCTTAGAGTTTGAAAGATGTTCGCCACGCCACTGCTAGTATTGTACCAATATGTTAAGAGCCTTTTGAAGCTTATAAAACCTAACAAATAAATTGTTATTGATATTATTTAAAAAAAAACTAATAATGATCAAAAATTGCATATGCCTATAAATAGTTCAACTTAGGTCGAATTTTTTTGAACATTTCATAGTAGATACAATATACTTATATAAACATTCGGTGAAATTTTCATATATATCTATGGTCATTTGTTTTAAAGTTACATCAAAAACCAAAATTTTGTCGAAAACTTTATTGTGCGTAAAATTTCCCGTTTTTCCCTAATTTTTAGTTTGTTAATCCCGAATATTTAGAAAAATATTGAGAATTTTTTACTTTTGACTCCCCCCCCCAAGTACCAACTAGATTCACTTTCTGAAGTCGAAAGTCGAAGCACTTTTACTGCTCCAAAACGTGATGACAGACACAAAAAAAAACACACACATCATTGAAAAATCAATACATTCCTCGATCTGCTCAGAATCTAAAATAAAGATTTTAAGTTTTTTGTTGTAATTCAAAAAACATTATTTGTATTTTGTAGGGATTTGAAACTTTTTTTCCCGTAACGTATACTATTAATATTTATTTAGTATAGTATTTTAATTTTTAATACGTCTTACGGGCCCTAATAGTAGACAGTGTACACAATGAAATTTAAAAAAAGAAATCTCATCAGTCTCATTACTGTTATCATAGTAATTGATAACATTGATAAACAGCATATTGACGTCATGGATGATGAACAATAATTTTCCCTGCTATGATCAATCTGTGGATTGATAGCAAAGATAACAAAAYCAGTCAAGCAGTCAACCAAGTCGTAGACTCGTACGAAACAAAACTGTTTGRTCATCGATGAATACTAAGAGCCATGACGAAGACTAACTATAACTTATTATACCTATATTATAGTGCAATAATTTTCTTGTAAAAAATCATTAATAATTGTTATTTATTATTTAGAAAAATTAAAGTTGTGTACATTCTTATGTGTAAATATAATTACCGACGTTAAACTTATCAAATATTTTTTTAGAACAAATTATTTTTGAAACAATATAATATATTCTACCTATTGTAAAATGTGTGTTCCTTTTCAAAAACTGTATGTCACAACTTTGTAACCCTTTTGCAACAAATGCATATTACATGTTTCGCATGGACTTTTAGCCCATTAGAGTCACAGGAATCCTTAAAAAGGTAAAAACAAAACTAACCTTAACTGCAAATGTTCTACATTAATTTCAATCTATCTCTTTTTGCAAACCTTTATATTATTGCCTCTTGAAGTTTGTTGTTGTGTTACATGTATTAAAATGATAATATATTTAATGTATTTCAGGTTTTGACTCTTGCCTTGAAACAACACATGCATTCTACAAGGCCAATTAATTGTGGTTCTGTTGATCAATGGGAAACTGTTTTTCATGTTTGCGCTCTAAGAGTACCACTAGGCCGGTGGCAGATTCCAGTAACAACGAAAATTTAAACAATGTACCAGACAAACGAGTTGAAGGTGAATTTATTATATAAATCATTTCTAATAAGATAATAATAATCTATTAACTTCATCATTGCTTAACAGCAATAAGCTTTAATCAAACTATCATTTGAACCAATTAAAAATCCTTTCATAATTTATATTTTTAAAACATTAGATAGCTAATTATGTACCATGTACAKCATACAATGTATGTATAGTTAGAGATAAATAATAATAATAATATATATATTCTATATTATAATATGTCTTATATGATTTGTTAAGTTATATTAACATAAATATTATTACTGTTGGTATTAAAAAAAAAAATGTTTAAAGTTTAATAAGTTGTTTTAATTAAAATCAACCTATAACGGCCTTAAGTCTAAATTATATTTGCTAAATTGTTCATAGTAAAAAATCGCCATAACGTTCTAATAATTACTTTTTTAAACACTATCRAAATCTTTTCAGATTCCAATCTATTATTAWTAGGGCTTAAAATGTCACTTGACCTCATTTACCAAAATACTTTTTTTAAAACCTATAATTTACTCGCATAAAATTCAAAAATACATCTTTACTACTTGCATTTTATAAGTTYATTAAAAATATGAAATGGTTAATAATGATAGTTAATTTAAATGTATACAGTAAGTGTACACAGGATTTTAGTTCGGTTAGGGTTTTACTCACTTTTACACCAGTAAACAATTTAATTAATTTGCTTAACAGTTTTTGTATAATTAGTTATAACAAATTACAATTAATAATAAATTAACAATTTAATTTATATCTATTAAAAATCTGTGTATTGAAATGGTGGTACATAAGATTTTTTTGTAAAATTAAAAATTTTTAGTATGGGTCAGAAMCCTAGAACCCTAGGTATGCCACTRAATTTATAAAACATCTAATTGTAGAAATTAAGAGAAGGAGCTATTTAGACCACACAATGTATACATATACATATTCAAAATCTAGTATTATTGTGGTTTGGCCAAGTTTTTAAATTTGTTGGCCTGAAGATTTGATAAATGTTTGACATGATTTATGACCTATATATAAATATGGGTATGGAAATAAAAATGATGCCACTGTAAGCAGAAGTAGACCTGAAATAGATGTATGGACAAAATGATAGAACAGAGAATGGTGTAGCTAAGGTGAGGTGGGTATGATAGAAACATAGAATAATGGATAGAGGTGGTGTAAGACAATGGTATATATGAAATAGATGAATAGTACTTAAATTATAAATAATAATTTTAAATTTAACCTATAATATTTAATATTTAAACATCGAAATATGATATTAAAAATAATTGAAGTATACTAAACGTTTTGATGGTGTGCATAAGCTGAAAGTGTTTTAATCTCTATCCTGTTAAATTTTCTTTGAGTTATTTTGTTGTAAAAGAGTATTGCATTGTTAATTTATTCAAACTAATGTTTTTTTTCCAGTTCTAGATTCAAATGATTTGAATCCCCCAGTAATGGCTATGAGCAATGGAGCTCATAATGCTCCTGTTATAGGATCAGTGGGTAGTGATAACTTTGGTAGCTTGCGTTCCACGTTTACCTGTACTCGTTTGACATCTACATTAAACAAAACCAATATAAAGTTGAATAACTTTGCCACAAAAAGTTTCCAAACCAGGGTTCAAAAGTTATTTGACATGTACAAAGATGCTGTTGAAGACTTGATATTAATTGATGGAATTGAAAGACTGTGTAGTGATTTACAGATGTCACCTGAAGAATTCCGCATCCTTATATTAGCATGGAAATGTGATGCCCATCAAATGTGTCGATTTACACGTGCAGAATTTCTTAATGGTTGCCATGCKCTTCAAGCAGACTCTGTGTCGTTGATGAAAAATAAATTGTCCGACATAGCAAATGATCTCAATTATAATACTGAGGAATTTAAAAGCTTATACAGGTAAATAGAAGTTGCACTATTTAAATACTAATAGATTTTATGAAATATTTCATTTGCAGGTTTACATTTAAATTTGGGTTGGACAATGCTGTGGGACAACGTATTCTTCCAGTTGACACCGCCATCGTATTATGGAAATTGATTTTTAATATCCGGGAACCAGAAATATTACAACGTTGGCTGAACTTTTTGGAAAACCAAGATAATATAAGAGGTATTCCTAAAGATACATGGAACATGTTTTTAAATTTTGCTGAATCTGTATCCAATGGGGATCTTTCTAATTATGACGACACAGAGGCATGGCCAAGTGTTTTTGATGATTTTGTAGAATATGAAAATGATCAAGCCAATCAAAACATTAGCGAAAAAGGAATTGGAAAAAGGCACGGCAGTGTACTTTAAAAACAAAAAAATCTATCACAACTTTTGTGTGTTATTAAACTTAAAAATAATATTGACAAACACATTGTTTTGTAATAACTTAAACATCATCAATTCATTACAAGCCGTCCAATATTAATGTAAACCTTTGTGGGTTTTTAATGGCAATATTACTTCATAAACAAATTTGAACTTTATGTATATTAAGTTGGACTAGTTCAATTTCTTATTTATTTTTAATTTACTTACAGATCAAAATAAATAATCCATATTTCTATTACAGTGTCTTCTGTTTATATTAATTTACTTTAATGTTTGTATRTTTACGTTGATATAAATATTTTTCTTCAAGTGATTTCTATTGTGTTCAAAAATTATAAACTCTTGTCTCATTACTTCTAATTGCAACAAAATTGGTTCCTTAAAGTAATCCAATCTCTATTAATTTTTCACTTAAGTATTTGGGATCGAGAAAGTTTAGCATCCATTTTTTTTTTATCAATTTTGCGTGCTGATAATAATCGTTTTGTAAAACACTGACTGATGTTGTTAGTCAACAAATACCTGTGATACTATTCACGCTTGATTAATGACAAGCGTTTTAATCTTATTAATGTGTGCAATTTTTTTTCTTCGCTGTAGTTAAGAATACTTAAATATTTTACTAAAACAATAAAACTAAAATGTTGGTATAAAATATAATAATATGTATAATATGTATAATAGTATTAATGCTACTTCAAAAACAAAACATTTTGTATCCTTGAATAATGTATGATGATTAATTTAATTATAATAGTGTATAGATAATTTATTTAAAGATTGTTTGGGGACCTGTTAAGTTTACAAAAAAATAATATTTCTATGATTTAAATAGTTTATTTATTTTTAAATTTAGTAAATTATTGTAACACTATCTTTCTTTTTATGTCTTTTTTATGGTTATGACTATAATAATATGATATCAGTCACAAAATCAAATCTTTATTAATGATTATTTAAAATAATCATATACTCATTATACATAAGTACCTAACCCTATGACTAATTCAATAGATTTATATTGTAAATATTAATAATTATGAATACTACTGTGATTAATATTATTGTATAATTTGTCAAAAACAACATAATGTTTTGATACAAWATATATTTTAATTTTAAATGTTTGGGTGTAAATGTGTGTATTCCAGTAAGTCATTTAGGAGTGTTTAGAACATGTGAAAACAAAATTTTTCTTAACATATTCACACTTACCATTGTATCTCTAGTTTTTGTTCTAGTTACTGAAAATTGTTTTTCATTAACATATTACAAATTTGAATTTTTTTAAATGTCATGAAATCTAAACTAACAATAAGAATTTATTTAATAAATGAGGATTAATTCTTTTGCGATAAGTTTTAGTTCAATTTCCAATTAGATGAAGCAGTTTATTTAACTTTTTTATTGTTGTTTATTTTTCATATATTTGACCTAGCTTTAGTTGATCAAATCAGATGATCCGCACTACACCAATCAAGCAATCAAGATTTCTTTGGGACACTCCGAATATTTTATCTACTATACACATAAAACTGATAGTGCCCCGCCATATACGGGCCATGTGGATGTAGTAATTCAGAGGTYTTACYGGCCACCGAGGAGTGGTCCTTGGGGAGATGAAACCCCTCTAAAGTCAGCAATTTCTTCCAATTGACATTTTATTGCAATTTTAAGTTATGTAATAGCTAAARTATAGGTACATTTTTTCTTTAACTGATGATTTTTTACGATTTAATGATCATCATAAATCGCTATGATGAGTGATAAAATCCTMCAGATATTACAGTATGCCTTGTCTCTTATGCATTATAATGTATAATATATTTTAATACMCTGCAGAAAACTGAAATAARYACCTTCTCATTGTTATCAAACGGGTATAATAATATATAAACCATAAATTAAAATATAGCTATTTAAACATTAATAATCATTACTAGGGCTTGAAAGTTTACGCCCKAATAAACCCATAAAAATACCGTAAAAAATGCATTTATGACATAAAAATACAAGAATTCCGTAAAACTTATATATTCTTACAATGACCTAAATAGATAGTTTAGCAGTGCTCATAAAGTACCTATTTAAATCAATAGTCAATAAGATGATTTATAAACTTTAAAATTAAACATTACACTAAATAAATATACTACGTGATTTTGAATTAAATTTAAATCTCAAAATAGGTTTTAATCTATAAAATAATTGAACGTTTATTTTCAAATATTTTTCTTTATAGGTAGGTGGTCGAATCGTGGAAAATATAATAACGAAAAATAATTAACTCGTTATTTTTCTCTCAATTGTTAAAATAAAAAAAATTTGAATGGCCCTAAACTTTAAAAAAAATACTCTAATGGTCACAAAAATAACCTAATAAAATAAAAAAACGCAAAAAATAAAAATTAGTTGCATAGATTCGTATGCTACTGAAACACATTTTAAGTTAAGAAATYATCGTCTATCGTGAACCAAAAAAAAAACATTTCGATCAACTCGGGTGTTATCATTATTATTTATTAAAACTTAGAAGAGCTATCATCATKACTCRTCAAAAATTCGACTATATTCCACAATTTTTACGATAAAGATTATTGAATGTTCAATAATTGATAGGTATGCATACTCTTGTTACCAAATACCAGTGAAAATAATCCCTTGCCCAAACAAAGAATAATGCAAATTTAATCTTTTTTATTAACATCACAAAATCTGAAAAAGATTAACCGAAGTAAATTTGTGTGTTTAGATTCAAAATATATAAATATATAGTAATATTTTGGTTATTTAAAAATAAATTTTCCATCTATTTGTAATGTGTTGTTAAATATGACTTAAAATATGGAAATATTCAATTACTATAAAATACATAGTTTACATGATAAATATAACGACATCTCATCCAGAAAAAAATATGCAGGAATTCGTGCTTTGATATTTTTTAAATACAGTGTTCACTGCTTTCCGCCATTATAATCTGCACAGTTATGTTTTCAATTTGTTATCGAAAACTGTAATGTACCTAACGTAATTATAGGGACTCAAGATTTATTTATTTTTAAATCATACTTATACTTGAACTTTACAGAGATGTAAATTAAGTTGTGAGGTGAGATCGTAGTCCCTCAAAAGTTAGAATCAAATTTTTTTTTCAGTTTTTAAATGAGCACTACTACACTATAAATAGGTATCTGAATAATATTGAAATTTTGGTTATTAGATATTTAATTTTTTATCACCAATGTTAATTATTGTTATAACATAGATAGAAATTACAACCATTTCACTTCTCAGTAATGTACTGATGCACGTARAAAACTTAAAAGCCAYTGTCTTTTGGCCCTTGAGACGCCTTTATAAATAAATAAACAATATTACCATTATAATTCAGGTGGTTCTGCYGWGTAAGCAGCMTCCCCATAAAAATGATCATCTGCTGTCACTAATCATTATTAATTAGGTATCTAATTTGATTATTATACTTATCATATTGTTTAGATTGTTCATAATTTTAATAAAATTAAAATAAGCACAAAGGTATTACAAAATTAAATAAGTGATCATTTTTATGAAATGTCTTAGTAAATATTTGATAACTAAACATACATTTTCAGGCATTGTGTCTAAAACTTTGTATTTTGCCTCATTTTAAATTAAAAACTCAATAGGTATTCAATGCTTGGCATTTGAGACAAATAAAATTTAAAAAAAAAAAAATAAATGAGGATTTGTGATTTAGATTTTATCATTTATCTGTCGTCATTTAAAATGTTAAACGATAAGAAAAAATGTATTTTTGAAACCATTTAAAGAGGATGTCAGCCCTCAAAGTTTTCTCTCTCAGATACCTACACGCGCAACATGGATAAGACACTTTCACCTAAAATCGTTATTTATGATTTTTGGGTAACTAGAGTATAAAGTATAAATAAAAATAATAAAATCACCCATCACAAAAATTATAGAGGATAACCGGTTTTATATTTTATTATTATTTGATTGTAATCGACTTTAAAAAAAAAAATTTAATTTAATTTAAATGATGTTTTAAGTTGTTTTTAGACAATATTTAGACAAATCAATATGTCATTCTCTTAAGATGACGCCACACTCTCATATGTTTTCCACGTAGTACAAGWGCGTAGCATAGCAAATTTTACACTCAGCAGATCACGTTTATCTCCGTTAGTTTAAAATTTAGAGTGGATTGACCTAATATAAAAATTAAAGGCAAGATTATTATATAGGGCATCTCATGGGCTTTTAATTATATTTTAATTTTAAAGCTAGTTATTAATGTTTTAAAATTGTGAATTGTGTGTATGTCTAGAAAAATATTCATAACTTCCTTTAAAATTAATAAAATAAAATATTATATTCTCTATCAATTTTTCAATTTTGTAATGGATAATTTTACTCTAAAATTATTTAGGTAAAAACTAAAAAAGAATGATTTTACTTACTACGTATAAATTCGTTTTGTTTCTGTTGTGCGTGAACTTYCAGAGAGAGAAAAGAAATAGTGCGCTGATATCCTCTTAAAATATAAGGTACATGAAGCTCGATATAGGATGTTTCGCTCAAATATGGAACAATTCAACAATTCTGTAAAATACGAAACTGATTGGATCTTTAAGAACTTAGCAGTCTATAACTGAGTTACAGTAAGTACTTATGGGCTATGATGTATGTATGTAAATTGTAAGGGCATACGAATGCATATGCAATAATATGCATTAGTTTTTAATCAATGGTAGGTATATCATGTGATTTAACTTTCGTTTTAGAGGACGCTACACACCCATTGTCTCCGTTGGTCGTTGTCAGTTTAACTGTTTTATCCAGACATCCAGTACTTAAACGGCGTCCTCCATCCACTATAAAATACCAGCCAGCCACCATTGCAATCGTCAGCTGGACCGTATTAACCAATTAAATATTTAATAATTTTAACTTTGTGCTATTTATAGCCAYGCGAAAATTTTCAAATGTTGATAAAAAAATGTATACATTTTTCTGGATAAAAACATTTTCACTTCGTAAAAAAATTTGAAAATTGAATACAAAATTTCTCATAAAGGATTGAGGTACTTGTCTCCTCAAAATTTCATGTCTGATTTTAAACCTATAACATCATGTTTATATTAAAATATTAACCATCTGCACTTCTGCAGTGTTTCAATTGTTTCATGCACAAATAAGGAATTTATTGCTACTAAAATTTGGGTAACCAATAAGGCTTACGCCAATAGGTACCTATACAAATACAAAATACCGAGTACTGACTCGTCAGCCACCACCCAGCGCAAGCGTCGATGACCAGCATTTATTGAAATTATTATCCTTATTACCTTGTTTATTCAAAGTTATAAACAGAAGTACCACTGAACTTGGCTAAATTAAATTAATATTTTCTTTATTGTTGACAACAGTGGCGCCGAACTATATTTTAAAAGGGGGGGGGGAAGTAAAAAGTTATACGGACCACCACCCCTGTTTACTGTCAAATTGACAACTTGCATTTATAGCCACATTATACATATTATATAAATTATAAATTATAATATATAGGTACCTACATGGATTTATTTTGGTAATMATTATTATTTTATTTTAGTTTAAAACTTAAAATTTACATAATTCGGGGGTTTGAGTCTTAAAAAGCCGACAACCTAATAGGACATAATTGATAATATCATATTATAATATCAGTGGCGTAATTAGGAATTTGGGTTAGGGGGATTATATGATTTTAGCAAAATCTGTAAGCCTTTTACAGTAACCTCTACCCCTCGAAATATAAAATGTTGACAGTAAAATAAATTGTTTTTTTAGGGGGGAGGTTCTATCCCCCTAAATACGCTCCTCCCCATGATCCCTTCTTTCCCACCTGATTAGACAATCTCTGTGACCATTATAATAATATGTTGAATAACTACTGTACAACAGGGTCCACTTGTTCGCCTTTTTATTATTATACATTTATAATTGTGATATAAATGGTGGTAAGTAAGTAAGTTTATTTCAAGTACTATATAATATTATAATATTATGAATTGATCCAATTTCTAAAAGGAATCGCGGCCACTGCGAGATGGCTATAGCCTATAAGTAAATGTTCTATAGATATTAGATCCTATCGTGAATAATTCGTGATTAGAAATGAGAAGAAAGTAGATTGCGGAAAAATGTGGAATTTATATGTTCTGAAGTTTAATTTTTATTGAACACCCCAGCGATCGGCATGATCTCAGATCTGCAGCATGTTGAACATGAAATATATGAAAATGTTTTTCACCGTTAGATGTCGTCACACAAATCGTGTTTTCATAATAATAATAATAATAATAACAATAATGATAATCGCGGCATAGTAAGTTGTAGGACGACGAGTTTTCCACTCATCCACTCGTCTCGTCTCGTAATAATTCCACCCGTCCGTCGACGAACTCCGCGCCCCACCACTACCCGGCGACACAGCGCATGCGTGGCGCTACAACCGCCGGCTGTGTGCCGCCGCCGTAGCCTTGCCGACTGCTTTACCGAGTTTACCGTACGTCGCGATAATACTCGACCGACGGTAACATTATTATTTATTAGTTTGTTACGTTGAACGTCCCCTTCTTATCCGGTGTCGCGCGATTCAATAATTTCTTCAATAATTATCATTTATCAATATTATCATTATTATTGCAAGAGTCAACTGAGTCAAGTTGCTAGTCGTTGTTCGTCGTTGGACGTTATTGATGTTATTCGTAATTGACTGGTACGACCGTACGAAATTTACTGACCAATTTGTTTTTGCATCGAGTTCGTTTGCGTCGAGATAACCGTTAAATTTACGTCGTTGTTCGTGTCGACAGCAAATCTGATCAAGACCCTGGCACAGGAGGGTGCCCCAACACCATCTCGAGACGGTGTCACCATGTCGCGTCGGATTTTACAGCACTTCCAGAGCACTGGTTTTCATATTTCTTCAACTGAATGGAAATAGGTACCTATCGTTGGCGTATCAAATCAACGGATAGTCAGGCTGGTCTTGTCTGACGAGAACGTTGATGTTAGAGGTGTCCCTACGAAACTATTGGATTCAGGACATCATATCTTACCCGCCAGCAGACTATTGCCGCCACAGGCATTATTTCATATGCAGACTACATAATGAGAAAGCTGAGTGGTAAGTGTCTTTTGTGACATCTATTATTTTATGTTCTTCCCCACCCCGTATTTACTCTTCAGGAAATCCATCCAGTCACTGGTTTTCCATCTTGTTGACATCCCATTGTAGTGGTCATATGACATTCGTCCTGTCTAATTACGTAGGAAACAATAAATMAGATTCTACAATGAATAACAACTTATCAAGTTACTTATTGTACTAATAAATACCTAAATCTAATGTGAGTTAATTTTAAGTAGATAGGTAAGTCTAGGTACAGCAGTTGCATTCATTATTTGATGTTATCATTTTTGTATATCAACCTACCAGTGTCCAGTTACTGTCTCAAATCATGTTAAAACAATTACAAAATGATAGGTAGGTAGTTAGCGATTTATTGCTATTCAAATAGGTGTAGCTTGTAGTACCTATTTGTTTTAATTTATAAGTAGAAAATAGATTAAATTAAACTAGTTTTTTATTTTCAATGTACTTAGGTATATAAAGTTTTAATAAAGTAATAATTACATTAAAGTATTTATTCTTTAAAAATGTATTTAATTAAGTTTATATACCTATATAGTTACTTGTTGAGTTTGGTACTTAAATATTAATAATATTTAAAGTAATACAAATATATTTTTGTTGTTACATTAAAATTTATCATTTATGCTCTAATAGTCAATGCTAAAAAAATGTAATTAATGAACATTCAGTTCAGTCAGACAGATGTTAGACAGATGGTATATTTATGAAACAGTTTTTTTTTATTCTCAATTCTCATGGGTGTGAGTATTTAGTTTATGTTAAAACAAAAAACAAAGGTCATTTCTGTATTAATTTGTTTATAAATAATTAATTTGGTACTATGTTATATTACTATATATCTTTTTTTTTATTGGTTACCAAAAGTTAATACTCAAGTATAAATAAATAATAAAATAATTTTATCTAAGTTTTTAGTTAGTGTATTTGATATGTCTACAGTATAGATTACTATGGCCTAAACTGAAATTTGTGTTATGATGTTTATTCATTTGGCACACAAAACGACAAACCATACAAATAATTCAAATACTACTTAGCATAGTAGGTAGGTAGGTACTTAACATGTGTTGAAATTGCATTGGTTAATTTGCTTTCATATATTTTCATAATATCTATAGCTATTAAATATTTTCATAATAAATTTTAAAATATTTGATCATGACATTTTTCATCAATTACTCAATTAATTACCATTAGGTACTAATATAAAATGTTATGAAAATATTAATACCAATGAGTCAATTTTCTCAAACCTGTACTGAAAAAATGCATAAGAAACATAATTAATTAGTTAAGTATTATAAAAATGTTGATGACCCTAAGACATAATATCAAAAATAATTTACCATATAGCATAAAAAAGCATATTTCATAAAAAAAATCTTATTCTCTAAAGAAAAGTTTCTGATAGAAAATATTCCTGTTTTATGTTTTCTCCTTTTTTAATAATTTAAACAGTGTACCTATACAATATTCTTGCCAAAATTTTTATAAAAATAATAATTTAGGTACCTTCAACATTTTTCTCAGGCAAAATCAGGATCACATCAAAAGTTATGTTACCCCCCAGCGGTAAAACCACTACGGCCGAGAATACGACACTGACTGATTACTATGTTAAATTTTTTTGAAATATTTTATTTTAGTTAGTATGCTGTTTTTCTATTGTGTTCCGTTAGGTTGGTTTATGTTAGGTAAAGTTGAATTGCCATAATAAAAACTCGTAAAATTGCTTGTGTCTAACTCCAAATCGAGCTCCAAATTCATCATGATTCATSATACTTTTTCTTCTCGGCTTCTGACTATCCTAGTTAGTTTAAGTTAGTATGGGTATTTGGTAAAATTAGATAATTTCATAATAATATGATGATAGTGGTACCTTGTTGATATAAATGTAGTGAAAAATATTTTAGGTTATTTTATCACCTTATTTTGTTTATATTATGAATTATATATACCTATTGTCGTAAACTGACAAAATATGAAGTAATTCACTCATTTGACATGGTAATTGTTTTGTTGTACCCATATTAAAAAATGTAAATACTAGTTTTGGTATCAATAAAGTCATTAGCGCTACTCGGTATTTTATGCATGTACTAATATTTAACAATAAATAAACTATATAGCAGTTTATAGGTACCTCGTAATATACCATAGAAGTTTTATAGTCCGATTGTCCAAGTCCAGTCACACAGGTTAATATTTTGATAATATATTAATATATATACTTACTCATCGATAATTTTCGTATTTTTTCCTAGAAGTAACACGAAATAAACGATACCTGTATAACTAATAATATAATGTAGTGTCTACCAGTTCATTAATAAAATCGAAAAGTCGCACTGCCGTATAGTAAGTCTAGAGTGTACACTGTTGTAGGTACCCCATCAATGAGAGTCCCTGTAATGACAAATGGATGACTTGTTCAAATTGAATTAAATAATAAATCGTTGAATTTGAAAAACGGTTCTGAGCTGTGACGGCGTCTGTCACTATTTCTAAGGTTATTTTATAATTAATTTTGTCGAAAATATCGTGTATAATATTATTTGTAATTGGTCAAAAAGTTGTATGAAAGACTGAAAATACAAAGTATTTTACTAAATTTTAATTCATAGGTATACCTACCTACATACTACATATAAATAATTAATAAAATAATATATAGATATTATTATATTTGATCATTCCTCATACTTTTTATTCAAAATAAAAGTTCAAAAATATAGGTATAAGAAATATAGGTGAACTGTTATTGATCTTTGAGATAAGTATATTATCTTTTTTTGAACTTTGGTTTTTACGATTTTTTTAATGTTTAAGCGAGTTAGGCTGTTTTTCAATTGTGATGCTTATTTTATTTATTTTTAATAATAACTGATAATAATTTACTTAGGTAAAAGTTAAAAATTAAAAATTGTTAAAAACCCTACCTTTATATGTATATATATTTGTTCTTACCTTTAAGCTTGATAATCTGCCAATTCGCCCTAATAATAAAGCGTTAACTACACAACATCGGTTCTGCTGAATTTAAATTCACTAACAGGCAACAGCCCATGCGGCTGTTTAATTATAATTATTGATTTGATTAATATGTATATCGTTTGGTATTACTTGTATTGTAGGTAACTAGTAATCTATAAATTCATATAATGTCTAATGAGAACTATCAGAAAACTATTGGTACTTGAAAGTTCATTTCGATTAATGAGGTTGGTGGGTCATAGTTTTAAGTGTGTATAGTATTAGATAAAAGCCTATCCATCGGTTATCGTTCACCCAGTAAAAATAACACGTATTGTAATTTTCGTGGCTCTATCCTTGTATCCCGAAATCGGATCCGGATATATCTTAACTCGTTTTGAAACGAAAGATATCGAATATTTGGCGGAGTATAATGTATAACTGCCGTGACTATAGTGCCTTAATACAAATCGCTAATTTATCAGTTATGAAAAATGCGTATTACGCACTTACTAAATACTTTCGACTTACCTACATAGTAGGTCACTATGTCATAAGTAGGGCTAGGATTTTAATGCCCTAAAAACCCCCAAAAATGATTTTATGACCTAAAACTTTAAATAATGCATTTAAAAAAATGTTCTTATGACTTAATTGTCGAACATTTTACTTTTAGCATTTTTATATTGAATTATCAAAAAAAATTAACTAGATTAATAAAACGGTGTTTACGATGACAAAATCCGTACTGAACCATGACAAAAAATTAGATAGGTATCATCCACTATCATCACAGTTTTTTGATACGCATTCTCCGCTCTTTATTTCACCTATATCGTAGTTTTCCACTTCTTATTGGCTATCAGTCATATACATAGAATAAAATCAACCAAGGAGAACTCCGATATCTGCCGGAGGTGAAGGAGATGCGCATACTGACTACTGAGCAAAACTAGTATTACTATGATGAATTGATGATAGGTACCTATCTAATTAATTGTCATGTACTGAACGTTGAACGATATCATCGGACGTCTATTTTACCGATTTAAGATTATTTAACATGAAATGCGGGTAGTGATTACTCAAACCTTGTCCGATAATATAATACGAATTATGAGTACCTACCTACTTATAATCTGTTATATTTATATAAAAACCATGTTGATGTAAAAAATAAAATATCAAATTCATACTTGGTTTCCAAAAACTCTAAAATGCCTTAAAGAATTAAGAAAATGACCTAAAAACTAAAAAATGCATAGCTCAGTAAGCTTTGTAACACAATGCAAAGCCCATCGAAATCCCAGTCCTAGTGTATAACTTTATAAGCAATGATTATGTACAGGCGTACAGCACACTATAGTATCATAACCGATTTACTAAAAACTGGTCTCAAATAGTTAATAAAAAGTATATTTATATATTTGATACGGAGCGTTGAATTTCAACGTTCCGCGTCGTGAAATAAATAACAAATTGCGAGTATTGGTAATCACATTAGCTATTGCTATATCGAATATAATATATACAATGTTGGGGCAAGCAAAGCGTCGATCTATACCACCCAGATTTGATAAGTGAGGTGGCAAAGTCGGTGGTGCTTGTGGCTAGTCGGGCACAGGCCGGACTTTATTTACAATGTCGGGTATATTAAGTTTTGAGGGTGGGGAACCGCCCATCACCGGTACAAGCTTATATAAAAGCGGTACTCCGGTGGCGAAGCAGGTTCGGAAATGATCAACTTAATTAAGTGTCTTATAAGGTGGTGATGGTGGCTCTGAAAAGAGCCGTTTTATGTGTTGCTCGACTGAGTCGGTCACGACGATGGTTGCCATGTGGAATCTATCTGATGGTTTCGGGGCTTCGGACTGTTGTATTGGTCGATCGTCGTTCCCGCCTGGTTGATGGTGTCCGCGTTGTCCTCCGGGATAACTCSGCTCGTATCGTGTRTTMCGGCGTATTCGACAACCGATTAACCCTGAGTGGTGAGAATA